CCACCATCGGCGTCGTGTTCATCCTGTCGTCGAGTCTTCACCAGAATAAGGGAACAACCTTCTTTTGGAAGTTAAGAAGTCAAGAAGAAGCAGAAGGGCAGCATCATCTTATCATCCCCACGGGACGCCGGTTCCCTGGTCGTGGACTTGAGCAGGATAACTCTGTCCGGCAAAAGCAAGCATGCCCATGTAATATAACTTACACAGTATATACAGAGCATACAAGTAATGGGCAGGAGAGATACGGCTAGTCAGGATAGTGCATCGCCGTCCACGATGGTATCTCCTATTAAAAAGAAGTCTCTTCTGCTCGCCTTTCCTGCCTCCCTCCTCCTCGTCTCTTTTCTCCTCTTTACCTTTTGACTTGTCCCAAAAAGAAGTCCCCACGAAAAAAAAAAAAGGATAAAAAGGATAAAATAAAAAAAGCGTGGAAGTCAAAAACTGGAGCGAAGAGAAAAGAAAAAGTGTATATTTCATGCTTAATTTTACGCTTCTTTTTGGAGCCGCTGCTGATCTTGAAGGTGAGGTTGAAGAAGTTGAAGAAGTTGAAGAAGTCGAAGAGGCCGAGGGAAGAAGAAGAAAAAAACCTGGTCTGACAGATAACCTGTAGGCCCTTTTTTCTCTTTTCTTTTTGGGCCAGAAGCTGGTAAGGAGGGAGACCGAGAGAGCAAGAAAGGACACGCCACCGCCACGAAGAAGCTGACAAGAAGTGACATTTCAAGCGGGAGGGAGCAGAGAAGACTCTTCTTCCACCTGTGCTTCTCTCTGTTCTGCTCTTCTGCTCCTCTACCTTGTGCTGGCAAAGTGGTGAGTCTTGTTATATCTTCTCTTCGTCCCTCGACTTTCTCCTTCTTCCCCCTCCGCCACCCTCCGCCTTCTCTCCGCCCTTCCGGCCCTCTCCCTCTTCTTCTCTCCTCTTCTCTCTCTCTTCTTCTCTCTTCATCTCTTCACCATCGACTCAACTTCACATCGACTCAACTTCATCACGTCGATCGCTTACATAGCTGTCGACAGGGTTAAGACTTTGGCCCATAAACTCTCTTCCGTTCGTCTTCTTCCACTTCCACCTCTTCTTCCTCCTCGTCCCTCCATCGCCCTTCCGACCCTCGACTTGCCCACCCAACCTTGACCTTCCCACCTTTTGACTCTAACCTACGACTGA